TGTTACATTTCATAGTTACAATTTATGGTTGTTACATTTCACAGTTACAATTTATGATACAGATCAACTTCCCTCAGGTAGTTCAGTATCAGATGGGCGCTCACGCGTGAGAACAGATCTTTTAGGTTTGTTGCATCATAATGTGAGTCCCTTGTAGGCGATAAGTCCACGCATTCAAGCAGGATATTTATAATGCTAACTCACTGAGATACCATGCCGCAGTGAAGCATGACTACCCCACTCAGACACATTATACTGACTCCAAGCCGACCAGTCCTTGTTGTGCCCATTAATGCCGAGCGCCAGGCAGGGACCAACAAGTACCATATTTTAACATCTTTTGGTATGACGCGGTCGGGGATTGAACCCGTGACATTCTGCTCTCTGGGCGGACGCTCTAATTACTACACCACGGAGGCGGTCCTTAAGTGTTTGACAGCGAGTGACACTAATTGTGTATGTCAATACTATTTTCTACATTATAAGTCCCTTAACATATATGTTATGGTTCTGATAACAGCCATCTCAACACTAGGTTGCATAGTCAGGGATTCTATATTCTTTATTATACAATTTATAGTATTACAGCAAGCCGTTTTGTGTCGTTTTTGTCATTGAATAACGAAGGAAACAAATGTTGTGAATGAAAGTCTGTGTAGATTTTAACTTAAACCATAAAGATAATGACAAAAACTTTATATGTGTAATATATCCCAAAGCGAGCTGAATTCGACGTTCTGGTGTTTCTGAAGATTGCATTGCTGGCGCTATATCGGGGGAGTATGTGCGCGATCGGTGAGCACAAGCAATTTCATCGGCAGAGCGGATGCCCAGTCACTGTCATGAGAAGTTTTATTGACAATTGAAAACCGGAAGTTAAGTTGTTTAAAAAACAAACAAACATCAATATTATTTACCCGAGACCGTTAATACCACTTCAGATGCAAAATCAATTGCCTTTATTACAAAAAATAGCGAGCGAAAAATTCAGTAAGATCATTCGTCTGCTGGTGACAGGCAATATTTAAATAGAAAGCCACGTTATCACAATACTCCCTCGCAGTGCTTAGCGAAAAGTATGGTTCATTGTCGAACACCCATACAAAAAGCACGGATATGGCGAACGGCAACATTTTCGCCCATACGATGTCGTCAACCTTATTTTAGTAGGAAACACTTGATATTTTTGTGTGAAATAGATGAATATATCCTTTATCACCCAAGGTTAATAAAATTAAAACTTCAAATGATATTACAGATAAAAATTACGTTTTTGTCTTACATCGTCGGAAACCCCTGATACCGGGATACTGGTTCTCAGAAAAAAATACTGCAATACGAATCATTTGAGTGAGTGAGTGAGTTTAGTTTTACACCACACTCAGCAATATTCCAGTCACATGGCGGCGGTCGGTAAATAATCAAGTCTGGACCAGACAGTCCAGTAATCAACAGCATGAGCATTGATCTACGGCATGTCGGGTGGAAATGCTGTACCAGTGTCCAGTGTCCGGTGTGTATCAATAGATTGTCTGTGACAAGGCTCGTGTATCAGTAGATCATCTGTGACAAGGCTCATGTTATCGGTAGATTGTCTGTGACAAGGTTCATGTGTATCAGTAGATTGTCTGTGACAAGGCTCGTGTATCAATAGATTGTCTGTGCAGGGGTGGAAATTACCCATTGCCTGATGCCCCAGTCCAGTGTTTTTTTCTGTCGGGCTAGCAAATTTGTATGTCACGCTGTACCGGTGTCCAGTTGACTTTCCAATGTTAATTTTGTTGTTCATTTAAAAAATCAACAAGAAAATCAGCCTTTATAGTGGAAAAAATATCAGGGCAAGTGATTTTACATGTGCCACTGTACCGGAGTACACTGGCAATTTTAAAGTTATTTCCACCCCTGCATGTGTCAACCAAGTCAGCGAGCCTGACCATCCGATCCCGTTAGTCGCCTCTTACGACAAGCATGGGTTACTGAAGATCAATATTCTAACCCGGATCTTCACGGGTCATTTGAAAAGAAGTATTGCGATATACCGGCAACACCGTGCAGTCCTACAGAATATTGTACAAAATGGACTGAATATTTGGGCATGTTTAGCATGGGACACAATACTATGGATAGTAGGGCTGTTACGATTCACTTGCATATTGTGAATCTAACTGTAATAGTAATAGTCCGCTTATATGGCGCTCATATCCAGGCACAGTACCTGCTCACGGCGCTATGTACATTACTATCCCCGGTCATAAGACACTATCGTACTTTCCGAAACTGTTTCAACTCCCTCGGGAGCATACAGCCATGCTGCCTGTTAGGCGCAATGAACTAAACACTCATGTTGCCAGTACATCCTCACGGGTACCCATTTTACAGCTGGGTTAACTGAAACAATGTGGATCTAAGTATCTTGTCCAAGGATTCTAATGTGCCCACCTCAGGACCTCTTGAGTAACTGTATCCTTTCACGAAATAATTTTGTTCCAGACAAATTAGAATAAAATATTAATGAGTGTTTTTAAAATGGAATTTGTTTTACAGGCCTTATCTGTTCTTTAGCAAATAAAGATAAGCAAAAGGGAACAGATAATCAGCATGCAGTATTAAGACAAGAATCAGTTGCTGAAGTCCCTCATCTTCAGGGGTTGACATTGTCATGATTTATTGCCAGTTTAAGTAAACTTAGGCTCAGTATTATTCGTTACACTGCTACACTGAGTCTAACAAACCTCAGTAGAAGGTCACGTCAGCCTTACCCTGTCTGGGTTGTGTACAGGACAGACACATCAGTAGATTGTCTGTGACAAGGCTTGTGTATCAATAGATTGTCTGTGACAAGGTTCATGTGTATCAGTAGATTGTCTGTGACAAGGCTCATGTTATCAGTAGATTGTTTGTGACAAGGCTCGTATTTCAATAGATTGTCTGTGACAAGGTTCATGTGTATCAGCAGATTGTCTGTGACAAGGTTCATGTGTATTGCAGATTGTCTGTGACAAGGTTCATGTGTATTGCAGATTGTCTGTGACAAGGCTCATGTGTATTGCAGATTGTCTGTGACAAGGTTTATGTGTATTGCAGATTGTGTGTGACAAGGTTCATGTGTATTGCAGATTGTCTGTGACAACGTTTGTGTATCAATAGATTGTATTGCAGATTGTGTGTGACAAGGTTCATGTGTATTGCAGATTGTCTGTGACAAGGCTCATGTGTATTGCAGATTGTCTGTGACAAGGTTCATGTGTATTGCAGATTGTCTGTGACAAGGTTCATGTGTATTGCAGATTGTGTGTGACAAGGTTCATGTGTATTGCAGATTGTCTGTGACAAGGTTCATGTGTATTGCAGATTGTCTGTGACAAGGTTCATGTGTATTGATAGATTGTCTGTGACAAGGCTTGTCTGTGTGACAAGGTTCATGTGTATCAATAGAGGTTCATGTGTATTGCAGATTGTGTGTGACAAGGTTCATGTGTATTGTAGATTGTCTGTGACAAGGTTCATGTGTATTGCAGATTGTGTGACAAGGTTCATGTGTATCAACAGATTGTCTGTGACAAGGTTCATGTATCAATAGATAATGTGTATCAATAGATTGTCTGTGACAAGATTGTCTGTGACAAGGTTCATGTGTATTGCAGATTGTCTGTGACAAGGGCTCATGTTGTCTGTGATTCATGTGTATTAGATTGTCTGTGACAAGGCTCATGTGTATTGCAGATTGTCTGTGACAAGGTCATAATGTCATGTGTATTGCAGATTGTATCTATGACAAGGTTCATGTGTATTGCAGATTGTCAATGTGACAAGGTTCATGTGTATTGCAGATTGTCTGTGACAAGGCTCATGTGTATCAATAGATTGTCTGTGACAAGGCTTCATGTGTATGTTGTCTGTGACAAGGTTCATGTGTATCAGATCGTTGACAAGGTTCATGTGTATTGCAGATTGTCTGTGACAAGGTTCATGTGTATATCAGCAGATTGTCTGTGACAAGGTGTGTATGTGACAGTTCATGATTAGATTGTCTGTGACAAGGCTCATGTGTATTGCAGATTGTCTGTGACAAGGTTCATGTGTATTGCAGATTGTCTGTGACAAGGTTCATGTGTATTGCAGATTGTCTGTGACAAGGTTCATGTGTATTGCAGATTGCATGTGACAAGGCTCATGTGTATTGCAGATTGTCTGTGACAAGGTTCATGTGTATTGCAGGCTCATGTGTATTGCAGATTGTGTGTGACAAGGCTCATGTGTATTGCAGATTGTGTGTGACAAGGTTCATGTGTATTGCAGATTGTCTGTGACAAGGCTCATGTGTATTGCAGATTGTCTGTGACAAGGCTCATGTGTATTGCAGATTGTCTGTGACAAGGCTCATGTGTATCAGATAGTGTGTTGACAAGGTTCATGTATTGCAGATTGTCTGTGACAAGGTTCATGTGTATTGCAGAGTGTCTGTGACAAGGTTCATGTATCAAGGTTCATGTGTATTGCAGATTGTGTGTGACAAGGTTTATGTGTATTGCAGATTGCGTGTGACAAGGCTCATGTGTATGGAGATTTTCTGCTTCAGGCTCACTTGTTAATGGACGGCTACCATGTCTAGGAATATTGCAGTGTTGGACATATTAGGTCCAATAGCCCAGATGTATCGATAGCTGGAGATCGATGAACGTCAGACAAATACCTACAGCTCGCGTTATTCTCGGTTCGACATTCTGGTGAATTGTGATTATTGTCAACGGAAATTCACCTTTTCTGTCCCTTGATAAACACATCGGAGGAGACAACCATACGATTTTATAATGAATACTGTCACTATACGTGTCTTGCGTTATAATGAGGAAGAATTTCAGTCCACGATAAACCCAGAATATCTTCAATTTAAATGCCGTGGATGTGTAACAACTTCGAACAATAGGTGCCTTATCAATCGTGGTGGAGTTAGCAAGTGTGAGTAAGAGTGATAATTAAATGGTGTGGCAAATACTCACGGTCGTGTTAGCACTGTCATCGTCTTGATGATCGGAGAAGCCATTTTGTTGCAGACGTGTTGCGGCGCACTGTTCACATTGCAGGACAGAAACGTGTTCGAAAACGTGATATCAATTTGGAGCCAACGCTGGGATTTTATTCAGAGAACAAGTTCACGCTGAAGCTCGTTTAAAGAATATACTGGCTTGCAAGTACACAAATACTGTCAGAAGGAAGGACGAAAAGTGAACATTTAGTCGTTGCCTTCCAGAATACACTCATCGTCTGTGAGGACGTTCCGGACAAGATATCCTACACACACCACTCGAAACGCCTTGGCAATGCATTTACGTCCGATTACGAAGTCACAAATCATATCTCTGTGCACAGCTGGTACAAGCCAATTTGACATATATTTTCACAAAGAACGAATGATCATATGCTGGACGGTTTATGGATTTATCACTCGTTACGAACAACAGATGACTGGATACAACTGAGAAATATTAGACAACTCCTCTTTCAAACATGGTCGAATGTGACATAGGCCTAATATCTATCTGGGATTACATTTTCTGAACAAAGTAGAGATTTGTGTTGAGTGAGTGAGTTTAGTTTTACGCCGCTTTTTGCGATTAATATTCTAGCAACACCACAGTATTCCAGTTTAAACTGCTTAATGTGGGAGTGAGTGAGTGAGTGAGTTTAGTTTTACGCCGTTTTAGCAATATTCCAGCAATATTACGGCGAGGAACACCAGAAATAGACTTCACACATTGTACCCATGTGGAGAATCGAACCCGGGAACTGAGTTTGAGATGGCGTTGGACTGCCCGTGGAAATAATAAAATCTAAACTGTTTCACTGTAATGTTTGCAAAATTAGATTCTGTAGATTCATTTCGCAATTTGGATTCCGGGGATTAGTTGCTCTGAGTTGAATGACTGTGAGTCAGCATCTTTTATTACTTTATATTCACACCGGTGAAGATCCGAGTTAGACTTTGGTCTTCAGCAACACCTTGTCGTTAGAGGCGACTAACGGAATCGGGTGTTCAAGATACAGATATGAAATGGCAAAGAACATGGTCGCTAGATAGATGTCGCATAATATCTCATAATCGTCTCAGCATTGCTAGTAAATACATGTACACGGATATTATCTCATATTTGGCACTAGTGAAGGTTTGTTTGTTTGTTTGTTTGTTGGCGGGGACACCAGACTTTGAGTTTGTTTGTTTGTTGTTTTACGCCGCTTTTAGCAATATTCCAGCTATACCACGGCGGGGGACACCAGAAATGGGCTTCACACATTGTACCCATGTGGGGATTCGAGCCCTGGTCATCGGCGTGACGAGCGAACGCTTTAACCACTAGGCTATCCCACCGCCCCTTTAACCAAATGAAATAGCACGACATTGCAAATGAAATGCTCAGATTTACTCCAGAACTTGTTTGGGGGCACATGTAACGTTATTACTTCTTGTTATGAACCCGTGAAGGTCCGGGTTAGAATATTGATCTTCAGTAACCCATGCTTGTCGTAAGAGGCGCTTAACGGGATCGGGTGGTCAGGCTCGCTGACTTGGTCTCAATTGCGCAGATCGATGCTCATGCTGTTGATCGCTGGATTCGATTATTTACATACTGCCACCAAATAGCTGGAATATTGGTGAGTGTGGCTTTGAGGCGCTTAAAATTGGGGTGGTCAGGCAAACCAGATCGATGAATCTGGTATAAATGATAAAATACTGATTATTTGACTGAATATACACAAGCATACCCAAAATGTCCATGATCCCGAAATATATTGTTCAGTATATATTGCTGGGTTTGGTCAGTCAGTCCAAATGCTGTAGTACAAGTGTAGTACTGTTCTGTTAATTTTTTCTAGTAATTTTCAATGTTGTATTATTGAAATTATCAATGATTTTGTGAATTCGCCAGTGATCTTAATGGAATGAATAAATTGATATTTGAAATCAATCTGATAATATGCACCTGCTCCTTCGTTATTTTCTTATATTACCTGTATTACCATGTCTTTGGCTGTATGACACTGACCTTATGAAGATGTGAGTAAGAATTGATCTTCATCAACCCATGCCTGTCGTAAAAGGCGACCAATGGTGTAGATCGATGCTCATGATGTTGATCACTGGGTTGTCTGGTCTAGACTCGATTATTTAGAGACCGTTGCCATATAGTTAAAATATTGCTGGCGTAAAGCTAAACTCACTCACTCACTAGTTCGTAAGCCGGGGTATGTGTCTATTGAAGGACTGACTGACTGAGTTTAGTTTTACGCCGCTTTTAGCAATATTCCAGCAATATCACGGCGGGGGACACCAGAAATGGGCTTAACACATTGTGCCCATGTGGGGAATCGAACCCGGGTCTTCGGCGTGACGAGCCAACGCTTTAACCACTAGGCTACCCCACCGCCCCTCTATTGAAGGAACTAAACTCACTCACTCATGCTTGTTGTACCCCATGAAGATCGGGTTAGAATTGGTCTACAGTCCATCACAGCCTGACTACCTGATCTAGCATAGGTTGCAGAGGACCAGTTCTAACGCAGATCACCACAGATCCTATGATGTAAATCGATGCTCATGATGTTGATCACTGGATTGTCTGGTCCAGACTAGTTTAATTACAGACCGCCACCATGTGGCTGGAATATTACCGAGTGCGGCGTAAAACTAAACTCACTCACTCACTACTTGTTATGTAGGGGCGGAGTGGAGACCTCGTGGTTAAAGCGTTCGCTGGTCACGTCGACAAGGTGAGGTTAGGTGAAATGGGGTTTAACGTCGTATTTAAATATATTTCGCTCATATGACGACGTGCATGTATGTGTGGCTGCTTGTACTATCCCAGACTTAAGCTGGTTTTATAGTGCTAGCTCACTGAGATACCATGCTACAGTTAAGCATGAATACCCCACTCAGACACATTATACTGACTCCGACCCGACCAGTTCTTGTTGTACCCATTAATGCCGAGCGCCAGGCAGGAACCAACAAGTACCATATATAAGCGTCTTTTGGTATGACGCGGCCGGGATCGAACCCGCGACCTTCCGCTCTCCGAGCGGACGCTCTAACCACTACACCACGGAGGCGGTGTCACAGCGAAGACCCGGGTTCGATCCCCCACATGGGTACAATATGTGAAGCCCATTTCTGGGGTCCACCGCCGTGATATTGCTGGAATATTGCTAAAAGCGGCGTAAAATAATACTCACTCACTATTACTCGATATGTGAGGTAATAGCATGAGTAGAAAATGCTCAGATTTTCTATTGTTGAGTGAGAACACCAGGTGAACAGTTTTATTTTTCTGAACGTCTATTTTTTTCTGTAATGTTATACACCAGGGGTAATATCGTAATGTCATTTGACACTAACATACATTATTCACGAAAGCGTCTTGATCGTGAGCAACTATCACAAACGTAACCATTTGGGGGGAACGAGTTAAAATGTTCGGTATTAATGAGTTGGTATTATAATGGCATTTAATTTGGACTTGTTGTAATTTAATTATTACTCACGTTAATTATGCATTTCTTCCCATACCAATGCCAAGTTGTCCGGATGATATTTGACTACGGAATCAAAAACTGTTGATCAAGCTACTCGTTGTGTGAGCAATTAATGTTCCGATTATTTTTAATTAATCATTAGGAAGTGCCTTTTCAAAACTTTCTAAACTTTCTCAACTGTGCACCATCCAGCAAAACTATTTTGAATGTTTAAAAAAAACTGGTGCCAATGTGACAAGGAAGGAAGGCTGGGACATTATCCAAGAGACGAATCGTATTTCTTTAAGCAAATTACAAATGCAGCATTGCTCTATTTGGATGCAGTGAAACATTATCAAAGTTACAATTTAAGTCACAGTGCATGAGGTACGGAGTGACTGGCGAGACTAAGGTTTTGGTGAAACTTGGTATTTGTTCGAAGAGGGTCATTTTCAACTCGAAGGTCCAGGGGTAGGTACATAAGCAATGAATGTTGTAATCACGAGTGGTGTGTTGTCCTGTGCATAGAGCTCAGGTCACAAATCAGTTGAAGTTAAGCAATGCCAGGCGCGGAGAGTCCTTGGATGGGTGACCGTGTTTGGCAGCTTGACTCCTGAGAGTTTCTAGGACTTCAGTCCTGCCTCACAACGAAACACATGTGATACATCTGGTCTCAGCTTAGGCAAGTGAGTTTGTTCAAAATTGCCTCTGTTACGACGTAAATTGTAATAAAAACGTAAATTGTAATACCTGCCGCAAATTGTAAAATGGAATAAATATTGACGCAAATTGTAATTATATTAGTTGCGGTAAAATGTAATAAATATTTACGTTAATTGTAATAACAATTTTCAAAATTCGTAAATATGCATGTGTTCGTTTTTCGTTGCATGTCATACATAATAATACTACCAATCAAAAGTTTAGACTCACTTGAAGAACTCACTATATGTTATGTATATATAGAGAATCTCACCCAAGTGTCTAATGATATCAATTATATCAACATGAGTAAAGTTACAAATGTCCGAAGCTTGCCGAGGATATACCTTTATCAACGAGTGTTGATATACAACTGTAATTGATATCAGTAGACACGAGGGTGAGATTCTATTTAGCATAAAAAATCATTCTTCGTTAGTTTTCAATGAAAAATGTACATCTCTCAACACTATACTACCATTAGACTTGCAGTGCAGTGATGTCATAGCATTGTGACGTCATCAAGTTGATGACGTCACAGCACTGTCAGGGCATTGTACAAAAATACTGTCAAAACGACATCTCCTAGGAGATATCATATGATCTCACACAAGCGATATCTCCTGTGTTTTGGATAATAACTAGAGGTCAACGTATATGGGTTTGATGATGATTGACTATATATATGGTTACATCGAAGATGAATTTCTACAACTTGGGGGAACCATGCAACTGCAAACGTTATGCAGATGAACTGCACGAGGATCATGCATCAAATTGCTGAAAAGCATGTGCAAATATAGTGCATGTGAACAGCTGGGTATTGGTGTACAGATTTATTTAGAATTCGCTAATTTTCACTGAGTTTCACCATTTATTGAACTCA